CTATATCAGCTGTAAGAACTGACGAAACAGGGAACTGCTGCCTGCACAGTAACGCTTGTTTATGCGCTATCCGGAGACTCGAACCAATCGATGCACAAACTTGATGACTAAAGAAGTAATCGAAAAAGTGCTGCGTTTCCTCGAACGAAGCAGACGCAAGTTTCGAGCTCTGCAGAATTCGCCGTTTACGCCGTGCAGTAAAAATCAGGAACTATCGTCCAACTTATTGTTCGTTTGTTTGTTTGCATTTCAATCTGTTTGTCTTTTCTCGGTCCGCCTATCCGTGTCTGTTTCTTAATCTACCCATCTGCTGTTGGGTTGTGAGGCTTTTCTGCGTGTGAAATTGGGCCGCCTGCGCTGCAGCGGCGAACACTGGCGCGACAGGCTCCTTCTGATGAACTTGTTCGTTCTTATTTCGCTTTGTCGTAGAGCCAACCGTATTTTCCCTCATTTCATCTCCTCTAGTCCAAAGTTATCGTCTCGTCGCCCGCGTACATCTGCCGCCACTCCCGCGCTGCACGCACAGCCAAAGAACAAGAAAGAGCAACACTCGCCACTTTCCTAGTCGCAGACAGCGTTAGTCCGGTGGGAGCATGCTGAATGCACGGACAAAGACCGCAGTTATAACTGTCTTCGTGCAACTGTTGCACTTAGACTCTACCGTTATTGCAACANACGGACAAAGACCGCAGTTATAACTGTCTTCGTGCAACTGTTGCACTTAGACTCTACCGTTATTGCAACAGTCACTCGCTACACTGTCGTGTTCGAACAAATTTTCCAACTATCACATTCATACTTGCAAGATTCATCTGCCTTACTTCCGCTGCTGCAGAATGTCAACATGGCACTAGATGACTCTTGCACCTACCGATCTACCTACCTGCCTATCCGTTCCCGTGCAGTCTATATCTACCTCATTTTTCTGGTGCATGTTTTGAACAATCAGCGATCAATCACTAATGCGCGATTCAAAGTTCAATCTATGCTTAACTACCGACCCGTGAGCTTTGCATGACCCATTCATATACTACTGTGCCGTTGTATCCATCTCCTAATCTGCGTGCGCTGTAGTTACCTCTTTCTTCTGCTGCTTGTCGGTCGTGTTTAAAATGATCCGCTACTTTCGTGTCCAGGGGATCGTCGGGTTCGGGGGCCGAAAGGAGGGCCTGTACGGAGAGTAGCACCGTTCGAATCTGCAGGGCGGGGCTCCACTTGTCTTTTAAAATGTCTAGGCAAATGCGCCCCAGCGCGTCCTGTTTGGCAAACGAAGAGATACACAAGCAAACAGCAACACACATTAACACGACCGCAAACAAATCAACCACCCTGATAGAAAGATATGATATCCGCATATATGCCCATGTAGACGCAAAGTTAAACATATGCATTTATACATGTGCTTAAGGCATATCACTGAATCGCGTCCAGCCCAGTCTAAGTTTTGTATTCGTTTGCTTCTCGGACCACAATTCGCACACTTCACCTCCGTACAAAAAAAAACACACAAAATTCAATATCAGCGCAAAGACGAACGCACGCAGACGGGATGGATGCAGATGGGACCCCCCCCACCGAACGGCCACCCCTGTCCCCTTTGTCTTTTTCACAATCCGCCTTGCTGACTATCCAATATGTATTGGGACAAGCTCATGAGCGAACTTGTGCATATTTTCTTGCTCTTAGCATTCTCTCTTATGTTTTACCCGAATAATAGAATAAGCATAATGTTAGATGAGAGACTACCCCTTGTTCAGGGCAACGAGCAATGCGTTCTGAGACAGACTGACCGAAGAGATTTGGTTTTGGCTCTAATTAAGACAATATATGGGGTGTAAAGTTCTGCTCACGATATTCGGGTGGTATATCTTCGTCAGAAAACGAACTTTAGGCGGCTCCATCGGGTACTGCTCGGGCAGAAACAGCTCCANTGGTATATCTTCGTCAGAAAACGAACTTTAGGCGGCTCCATCGGGTACTGCTCGGGCAGAAACAGCTCCAGACGGTAGCGGCCGCCTGCGTTTACACCCATTTCGTTGCACAGATTAAAGGAAAAGCACTTCAAGAGTAAGCAGCTGAGTCATCAATGCAACTAGCAGCGGACACCCCATGGTGTTGCACAGATACGCAGGAGCATGCAGACGTACGGCTCTTGCCATCCGTCATCACACCGCCCACGCAGCCTCTCACGAAGATCGAACCCCCACCAAAAGCAAGCATAGTGACAGACAACCGTTGCATGCATGCGCGGACAGACGACAGGGCCGAATAAATAAGGCCCCCCCGTCAGGAAGCCCCAATGTACTCCTTACCTTCGTATGGCGTGCCGGCGGGCCCCGTCATTATAATTTTGAAATAGCGATAGTTGGATGGGTCCGGCGCCGCCTCAATGCCGGGGGCTGCAGGAAAAGCAGATATCCATATGCAGCAGCCCACTGTTAGCAACAGTAAGAGTAAGCATAGTACGGAGACAAAAAGGAGGAAACAGAAATGAATCAAGGGAAAAACTTGCACANCAGTAAGAGTAAGCATAGTACGGAGACAAAAAGGAGGAAACAGAAATGAATCAAGGGAAAAACTTGCACAGATGAATAGAAAGAAATGGTAGAGGCGCGCAAACAACCAATACATAAACTTAATTCCATGTGCTGCCCTCGCTACAGTAGAAGCAGCAGCGGTAACTGGAGAGCCTAGGGAAACGTACAAATGAAACCGTTAACAAATGGGCACTAATCAAAAAGTATGAACGACAGCCAGCGCCACCATCTAGACGCAGCAAAATGAATTATAAAGAGTGCTGGTGTGCGTGTACACAAACACACGTCACTCCGGTTAAAAAAGAAAGTATTTCGGATAAAATGAGCCTTGACCAAGAACGGTCTATCACTGCATATCCGTTTCCTTCCCTCTCTCTCCCTGTTTCTCGGCTTCCCTTCCCTCTTAACCCTCCTGCCTCTTGTTCTATTTCCCGGCATTTCTCGTGGTTTATGTCCCCCCTCTTCCCTCAGTGCCTTCTCGCCTGGCGTGCGGCTCACGCAAAAACGGCAAAGAGGCAAGTTTACAATATGTTTGTTTGCTTACGGGGCTCGCTGGCGAGGTTGTGTGTTTCCTTCTGAATGCGCTTCGGAACCAGCATCATGCTGCGGCGCTGCCTTGGCCTGGCAGGGCACAGGGACAAGCTTTAACGATGTGAGTGTTCTAAACGAAAGAAATTAGAAGAGAGAAAGGAAAATATGATTGCAATTATGTGGCACAACGGCAATGCCCAACAGCCGGAGAAGGCGNAGAAGAGAGAAAGGAAAATATGATTGCAATTATGTGGCACAACGGCAATGCCCAACAGCCGGAGAAGGCGATCGGATCGGAGGGGGAAAAAACAGACGAAAGAACTAGATATACGGGATTCCCCAGGTCAAAAACGGATTAGGAGATCAATTTTCATGCCTATTTTTCTGTTTTAACGCGGATATTCCTTCAATTTCACAAGAAGAGGCGCATTTGTGCATTACACAGAACGCCCACTCCTACCACAGCCCCCCAATTGTAGTGCCGGGCACTACAACGGCGCCCGCGGATGGTAACGCGCAGTAGAACGGCGGTAATAAAACGAGTTTAAATTAAACGTGCGATAATATTTAGTGTTATAAGATGGTATAATGTATCTCATGGGTGGGATTCCCATGATCGCCAGTCCCTACGGGGTCAGTGAAGACAGCTTTGCGTGTAGCTAGCAGCGCCTTTCCACACGCAACTCTTCAGGGTGGGGGGCACTTCTTCTACAAAGCTAAATTGAACTCCTTTTCGATATACAATAATGAGCAGATTCAGATGATATGGAGAGACTCTGGGTGGGCTAGTGCTCAATTCTTAGTGCTAGCCGGCCTCAGGGACTCGTGTTGTACGGCGGTCTGTCTGAAACTTGAAGCATGGCCTGTCTGACATTGGAACATCTATTTCTACTTACATTCAGGTTGTCCACTAAGAACCAAGTAAGGGTTCAACAATTTTATACAGTGTAAGTGCATGCATCAAGGGGAGGGGGCGCATGGTACATCTGTACGTGGGGCGGTTGCCTTGCAACAGGAGCTGCAACTTCTGAAGGGCCCCTTCACCTCTGCGGCAGTTCGAAGCCCTCGGACCGCAGTTTCTTTCTTTGTTTTGCCGGGCGCCTTCGCCTCTGATAGGTGGTGTGCCCCAGACCGCCCAGCTGCGGTGCTGGGTCTTGGCGCTCGCAGCAACGACATCTGCGGTACTACCCTCGCTGTTGATCGGGGGCCTTCGTGAGTTGCAGCAGAGTCAAAAAAAGTAAGAGA